GAGAAACTTGTCAGCGGGAACTGGGAGAAGAGGAGGGCCTCTGTTAGTCTTCAAAGAGAGAGGGAGAGAGAGGAGAGAGGGAGAGAAAGAGAGAGGGATTCTTTTTCCTTGTTTCCTTGTTCCCCCCTCTTTTTTTTTTTTTTTTTTTTTTTCCAGAATAGATATAGCACGAATTTTTAATTCGTCTTCCTTTCACAGACAACAATGCTGGTTTTGAAAGCTGGGCACAATTTGGGTTTTGTGAGGGGTCCCCCGGCCCAGCTGGCCATATGGGATACAACATGTAGAACATGCCTAACAATGAGCACGAGTGACAGCCCTAACAAAACGCAAAGGACACTGCTCCCTGACTCCGGGATGGACTGCCTCCCGTAAATGAATTGAATGGCCCTAAAAAGAGGAAAGGAGCGGGGGAGAAGAAGGGAGGGAAGGCACAGGGAGGGGGCCCACCCCCCCGAAACTGTCTCTCCTTTTTTTCTCCCCCTCTCCCTCCCCGGCCCGGCCCAGCCCTGGCTGCCTTTGCCTCCGTCTCTTTAATATGCACGCCTCTAACATGCTCACCTCCCTGCCTCCCCCATTGTGCTGTTTTGTGAAGTCTACTGTATATTGTGCAAAGATAGACTGCCCGGAGCTGGCCCGGCAGCATGGGAGATATAAGGCCACGGAGGTTAGGGCCACACAACTGGTTTTATAGACTTAGCAGAGCCTGGGGGAAAAGAAAAGGAAAAAAAAAAAGAGAGAGAGAGGGGAAAAAAAAGGAAGAAAAAAGTGACAATTTTCCTTCTCTCCCGCTTCTGCCTGGCTCGCCGGGGCTGGAGGGGGGGGGACACCCGGTACCCTCCGCAGTTAGGGAGCGGGTCCGCGACCCCGGCGGAGCGTCCCCGGGCTCGGCAGGTTACCGGCCCCGTCCCTACCGGGAAGCCGTGCATCTTCCCGGCCTCGGGTGGTTTGGATCAGGGCTCACCCGGCGGGGAGGCGAGGGGGAAGGAGGAGCAAGAAAAGAGGGGGAAAAAGTAAAATAAAAAAAAAAAAAGAGGAAAAGCAAAGCAAAACAAAACAAAACAAAACAGCCCGAGCGCGGGGCTTTGGGGCCGGCGGAGGGGGAGCCGGGGCA